GAAAGCACGATGCTTACCACATTGCAGACTCATTGGAGAAAAGCATGCTGGAGTGGGGTCTACAGACTAATAAGTGCGTCAAATTTTTGCGTGACGGTGCATCAAACGGAGTTAAAGCCTGTGCCTTGCTCCATCTCGACTCGATGTCATACTTAGCGCATTGTTTGCACCTAATTGTTGGCTCTGGAATTGTCAAGAAAAAAGCTGACAAAACATCTAAAGAAATGCTAGCGGCAGCAAAGACGGATGGTGAATTCGATGATGCACTCGAACAGGAGGCCTGCGAAGAAGTTGACAGGTATATCGCAGAGTCTTGTGAATCTTCTCGTTCAGATTTGGAGAAATTACGTGGAGTTGTTGAAAAGTTTCGCAAGCTTGCAGTGTTCTTCAGTCGTTCAGTAAAAGGATCCGATTGCCTGAAAAGCCTTCAAAGTAAAGAACTTCTTCCTAAGACCGACTGTGCTACTCGTTGGAATAGCACATACGCCATGCTCTTACGTATGTTAGAGTTACGCAGTGCACTAGCTGCCTTTTTTGATCTGGCGGCTAGGACTGGTGAATTTTCTTACCCCACTTCCGCACACCCTACGGTCGAGGACTGGCTTACGATTCGGTGCTTAGTCACATTACTTGAGCCTTTCGCCAAAGCTACCGATGGTTTGGGAGGACAGAAGTACCCTACATTGGTAATTGCCGTTCCAGTACTTCGGTCAATCGAGAGGAAGCTAAACAACGCCAATATTTTTGATCCGATCATTCGATCTGTTGCTAACGAAGAATTTGGTCCTCGAGTGGAGACATTAATGCATTCAGTCAGAGAAACGTACATAGAGCTCTTTTCCAAGCGGTTTAAGGACAGCTTACCGCCGGATTTGCTGTGGATTTCAGTGCTGGACCCACGGTCAGCCGAGCTGAAGCACTTGAGTCATGGTGAATCTACACTTGCTGTATCTCGACTCAAAGTTGCAGCTTTTGAGATGGCAAAAGAGATAAATACAAACAAATCCAGTTACAACGAGGCTGCGCAGGTAGCCAGCGATTCAGTACCCCAGTCCGGCTTAACGAGGCAAAATGTAGCTTGGCTGACAGACGTATTTAGCGGTGGGATGGACGAGTATGTGGAAGAACCGCTCAGTGTTGCCGACGATATGCTGAAAGACGAGTGCGAGTCTCAAGTCCGGCAATATTTAAGAGATGCACATGGAACTCCTGTTACTACTGACGTATTGGACTGGTGGGCGAAACGACGAACTAAATACCCGATCGTATCGGCTTTGGCTAGAAAGTGGCTCGGGTGTATAGCAACGTCTGTGCCGTCCGAACGTGCATTTTCAAAAAGCGGAAATGTAGTCACCACGAGGCGCTGCTCGTTAGCCCCCGATATTATTCGCGATACTTTGTTTGTCAGCGAAAATTACGAAGAGAATGATGACAATGTTTCCAGTGAGCAAAGTGATAACAGTGACGAAGATGGCGGGTAACATTCCGGTATTGTTGTATGACCGAATGATGAAGTGAAATTTACGTCAGTCCCATCCGAACGAGCATTTTAAACTGCCAGCAACACAGTCACAGCAAAGCGATGTCAGGTTGATAGTAAATTAGTACGGTAACTTGATTTTTTATTTCAGAAACTATGTACAATCTTGTAGTACTGGTTTATTGGACTTGTTCACGTAGTCGCGAGACTGAGGAGCGTTAAAATATGCGCGTAGTACAAACAGTATTTGTGCCTGCGCCTCGTCTTGAGTCACAGTGTAATCAACAAGAACGCGGAGCTTTGCACGTCCTCAAGGTTTGTTTCAGCTTCTTTATGTCGTAACACGTCATACCAATTAGCGCGTAAGGATTGGCGTCTCGAGAGGGTCGGTTGTCCAGATTGTGAGTCTATTTAGGGATTGATGATCCATAAATTTAACCGCGTAAAGCACTTCACCTAAGTTCTCTTTGCTTCCACAAATATCTTTCGGCCAGCTTCGATGCCGTCACACACCAACAGAGCGACGTAAAATCAGGATCGACACCTATGTAACCACAGGGAGCATATCATCCAATCCATAAGTACCTGCTTCATATCGTAGCCAGTATTGTCCTTGCGCATCGTGCTCAAGCTGTCAATTACCATACCATTAGCCAGAACGTCTCCGGTACCCAGCACCGTGCCGCGACGTGTTCCATATTCAAGGGGCGCCAGCGTTTGTAGCCACAGCACACCAGCATTGCAAGTACCCTTTGCTCAAAGATTTAAAGGCCCTGCCTGGCAACTTAATTGTCAAGATTCTCCAAAATGCATCCACTAGCGCACACCAAAACACCAGACTCCTCGCCGAAAGACACCACGTTGTTCATCGCCGTCACTGACAGCACAATTTCGTCGTGCACTGGAACGCTGCCACGCACCAGGCCCATGTTGCCCCCCAGCGTCACCACCGGCATGTTGCGCTCGCTACATTATTTGAGGATGGCGGATACCTGCTCTGTGGTGTTGGGCTTGGTTACTGGCTGCCTTGTAGTCATTAAAAAAAAAACCGTGTAACAGTTAGGTCTTAGTGCCGTCGGCAGCAGTGAGCAAATGCAGGTCGACAATAGTACGTTAGCCAATCCGAATAAAGAATTCATTTTAGCCAATTAAAATACGTATCGTTATTCCATCGCTATCGCTTCGGGAAACCCCAGATAACGTTACGCAATTGTCGCGAAGATAACGGTGAACGTTAAAACCACTAGTCACCAGAGGTCGCAAATGGTTATCCGTACCAGTGGGTAATATCTAACCGTAACCACGGACGGGTATGGCTAACCGATAGTTTGCCTCTCTGAAAAACGGACGGGTACAGGTAACCGACTTCTAGGATCGGTTGGTTATGGTTGGACGACTTTGCCACACTTTCGACACAGCCGCCGACGATGGAACAACCCGAACCGCGTCTCACAGAGCTGACAGTGCGTAACGCCCTCTTTCGCAGGCAACTCCAAGTCTCCGAGTAACTTTTCT